CATGTCGATTTTGATAGTGTTACTGTCGACGAGATACCGAAGAAGGTTTGCATGACCTTGAGCGATTTGAATAAATTAGCGTTGAGTATGAAAGCTACCGAAGAACACGAAAAAAGCAACAGCGGAGGTAAAAGTAATGAAGAGATGCAAGAAAACGATGGTACTGATGACAACAATGGAGACGACGATGACTGCACCGATGATGATGAAAATGTAGACGAAAGACGAAGTTGTGGTTCTAGGACTACACCAAAGACGACGAATAAGAAGAAAACTAAAACGTACGAAGATGATTTATGCATGACGACGAAGTTTATGATGACATTCAGGGATGTCGAAGACACGATTCGACCCTTTGATGGCAAAGGTGATTGTGCGATAGACACCTGGATGGAAGAATTCGAAGAAAACGCTGTTTTATTGGAATGGACAGACGTGCAAAAATTTATTTATTGCAAGAAATTGCTAAGAGGAGTAGCAAAGCTATTTATCCAGAGTGAAAGAGGAATCACGACATGGAAAAAGCTAAAAATAAAATTAGAAGATGAGTTTGGCAAAAAATTCAACAGTGCTGAGTTGCACAAAATGCTGTCACAGAGACGAATGAAGAGTGATGAAACAGTGGGAGAGTACTTTTTGAAAATGCGAGAACTTGGAAGTCGAGGAAACATAGAGAAAGATGCATTGTATCAATACATAATAGATGGGATAGAAGACGAATCAACAAACAAAACTGTTTTGTACGGAGCGAAAAACAATAGTGAATTTAAAGAAAGACTGGAGATTTACGACAAGATAAGGAAGCAGAAGCAAACAAGAACAAGCAGGCCGAGACAACATGAACAAAGAGATGACGAGACCAGGCCAAGAGAGAAACCAAAATGTTGTTATAACTGTGGTGAAAAAGGTCATTTTGCAGCTGAATGTAAATTCAAAGAGAAGGGCCTTAAATGCTTCAACTGCAAACAATTTGGACATAAAGCAAACGACTGGTCAAAGAAATCATCTACACTCACAAATGTGAAACAACCATCAGTAAAGAAAGTTGCAACTATGGAAGAGAAAAGTTAATATTACAAAGACGTGAACATCGATGGAAGGAAGACGTTGGCATTCATCGACCTTGGAAGTGACGTTGTCACTATGAGAGAAGAGACAGCCATTGAGATGAACATACAGTATGTGCCACACCAGATTAAACTGAGAGGTTTCGGACAAGGAATGTGCNTATTAGATTTATATTGAAAATGATTGATTTATTTTTAAATAATTTTGATTTATAAAATATTTATTTATTGGAAAGTAAAGGTAAACCTCGATAGAGCTCATAGATAGAATCCAACAAGGGTGTTATGAACAACTTGGGGAGTTGCTGTATTCCATCTTCATAGATAATTTCGGGGTATTCCTCGAGTTTTCTATATTCTTTCTAGATTTCTATATCTATTCGTTAAACGTCAATCGTATCCTGGAAGGTAGTCCAATTAGTCATTTTATTTGTTAAGTGACTTGGGCACGTAGTGCATTTTAATAATAATAATAATAATAATAATAAACTTTATTGTGCACCATAAGACTCTACATATTTAAGAAAAAAAAATAAAAAAAACATGAATTAAAAACAAAAGGGCACAAAAGGCGGGTTCCAGACTTTAGTCTGTTCTAACCAACCTATACAACAAAAAAAAAATAATAATATACAGAAAAAAGCAAAAAATAAAGTAGTATATACGCAAAGAAAAAAAAGAAAAAAGAAATGAAAACAATATAAAAGTAATAATAATACAAGCAAAATACAAATAATAATATAAAAAAAACATAACCAACGGCGACAATAGGATGCACACCAAATGCAAGACCATAAACAAAAAAAAAAAAAAAAGCCAGCATTGTAAAGGGGACAAATTTAAGTGGCCTGCAAACCTACCAGTCTTTCACCTACCCGCCTTTTGAAACCTGTCATACTTAACTGTCGAACCGACAATGGCAGGCTTCCGTATGACTTGTAGACATGATAGGTGAAAGAGCGCTGGAACAATGATGTTCTGTACTTTGGTGGCACTATTGCAAGAGCAAACCTGGTTGGATATCTCCCATCTTCTGACTTAAAAGTTATTTTGTCATAGAGGTACCGCGGCGTCCGAGTTTTAACGATCTTATGAAAAAGCATCAAGCTAAGCAGTTCGCGCCTAGAGCTCATTTTCAACCAGTTTGCATCTTTGAGTCTGTGCGATACTCGGTCGTACTTCCTAATGCCGTAAATATATCGGAGACAACAATTCTGTATTTTTTGTATACGGTAAGACGTATCCATGTCGATTGCAGCGTGATAGATAGGTGTCATATAATTAAAGTGTGATAAGACATATGTATCACATAATTGTTTTTTAACATTATGTGATAAATAAGACCGATGAGGATATAGCTTCCTTAGACATAAATATGCCTTTTTGATATATTCATTGATCTGTCCACGATACCTAAAACTAGGGTCGAGCGTTAAGCCTAAGCACTTCACACTATCCACGCGCTGCAAACGTGTATCCCCCAATTTGATATCAATATCAACCCG